TCAGTGTCTGGAAAGAAGGGAGAAAAAAAGGTAAAATTCAATTGCAAACCTTTGTTTTGGCAGTTCATCAGGTGCATTGTTAAAGGCACAGATGGCCTCGATCCCCTGCGCGCAGTGACACTGTTCTTCTCATTTATACATCTGTAAAGCCCAAATAATACAGTGCTAGCACTGGGTGCACCAAGTTGGTGTTACATCATGAAGGGTGTGAATTACACCAGATGTGCCTTCCTTACTCTGCATTACAGTGGTTTGCTTACTTTCCCATTCTACAATTTACTGTCAATTAAAATGCAAATGAGTGTGGTCCTGCTAAAGCAGGAGAGCTCACTAGCCCAGGCTACAGCAGAACTGCTAACTGCAGACCAACACAGCCGTGATCCACTCTCCTCAGGGTTTGTAGGTGGTTTAAAAAACCCAACAATAACAAACAGGACCCACCCACGGTGGGACACCACAAGAACTGCCTGTGGCATTTTCAGCACTAAAGGAAACCAACCACCTCCTAACCTGCACCATAATCTCTTACATCTGCTTTTGCCACCCCTTTTTTGCTGAACATTTCTTCTTCACAACATTTGCAGTAATTTTTACACACAAACATGATGCACATGTAGTGTCTGGGAAACAAAAAAATTTCATACCATGATGTCCTTGATAATCTGCTGCACCAGAAACTCGTTTGTGATCATATGGCTCCTGAGCTGACCGTGCTGCATTAGCAAGCGAAGCAGCTGAGCAACAACAGGCAGTTCTTCCCGACAGATCCTGCTCACTTGCAGGCTCTGCAGCATCAGCCTCAGTAATCGTGGCAGGAGTGCTAATGCAGAAATACATGATCCCCACAGCATATCCCTGAGAGGAAAACAGAAAAAAATGGAAATGATGAAGATACAAACAAATTTCAAGCAGGCTGCTGTGAACTGGGCACATGGCTGTACAAGGAAACATGCCTGTCTCAATTCCACCATGCCAGCTGCTGCCTTCACCATAATTAGAGCCAAGGCTGAAAATTTGTACCAGAAAGTGCTGAATTTGAAAATACTGCAAAATTATGTACAGCACTGGGAAAAAATTAAGGTCCTGCCCTGGAGCTACAAATGTTGCTGAAGCTCTTGCATAGTGTAATTTCTGCTTTATGCAGCTGGGAAGAGGTTTTTGTTTCAGGCATTGTTCAAGGTACACCCAAATCTTTCTTTAAGATTTATAAGAAATTAAACAATGGGCTCAGCTTTTTGTGATATGCAAGTCAATAAATACATAAGTGGAGGACAACTCCAGGTTTAAACATGTCTCAAATTTCTAAGAGGCTTTAAGCAACTTTCCTGTATATGGAAAAATCTGAAGTTTAACCTGTTTAAAGACATTACAGGTAAATAAACTTACTTGAATCTAGTATCTGTAGTTTCGGGGGGTTTTAAGTCAAATGGATTTGCAGGCTATGTAATGATGCCTGAGAAGTTTTGTTAAAGGTCAGTTAAAACTGAGGACAAGCTTATAAAGCCAAATCCTTTGCATGGTGATTTACAAAGTATCTAATGAAACTAAAGCTAAAGGTACAAATATCCACCTTTCTAAAGTCAGGATGGTTCTGACTAGAACAAACTGAGATTTAAACATTTTTCAGCTAAATAATTCCAGCTTTGCAGCTGCTTTTCTTAAATCCACATACTGTTTCGAAGCAAACAAAATCCAGACAGCAAAATAAACTGTATGTGTGTGTGTGTGTGTGTGTGTGTGTGTGTATCTTTTAATTTTATATACTTGTGGCTGTAGAGATAACACTGCAGGAAGAGCAGCTTTACCTTTTCTGTAGATGTTCTGCATCCTCTTTGTCTATAGTCAGCAGAAAGTACAGAAGACTGTAACAACAAGAGGCCAAGAACTTGTGCAGATTTTCACTGATGATGCAGGCTTGATCCAAGAGCTTATTTATGGCACATAGAACAGATCCAGCTGTGCTATCAGGTATTACAACCAAACCAACCTGTATTAAGACAAAAAAACCCCACCCCTAAGTTCATCACTTTATACACAAGTTTTTTTGCTGGGATACAAGCATGCCTAGAGCTGAATGAATATTCTTCCTATCATGATATGTACTACTTCCTTTCTGTTCAAGTTCTACACATCACTGCATTTTTAAAAATCTCTTATTTCCCCAAGAAACTGCCACCCATACCAACAGAAGGTTAAACTGGCATCTCCATCCCCTCTAAACAAACTCATCCCACACGTATTTAAAAAACACAGCACTGCTTTAAGCCACAGTGCAGACACAAACAATCTTCTGGGCAGAACAGGTCTTTCCTTTTAAGCATATATCATGGGACAGGGCAGCCCTTTGAGTCTTGAAATGGCAGTGAGCAGCCACTGAGGTAGAAGGAAACTTTGATTTACACTACAGACAGAAAAGCTTCTACTGGATTGTCATCAGGGTGAGTCTCCTTTGGAATCCGACAGGAGCCTTACAGGCTGAGGTAAATCCAAGCTGATGAAAGAGATGGTGAGCCCACAGCTGGGCTGATGTTCTTCTGTTGTTAAAGTGAGAACATCATCTTGGATGAGGATTTCATAGGCATGATAGATAATTTAGAAACAAATTTTTGTTGGGGATAAAGGCAGTGAATTAGAAAATAGTTTAAGTACCCTAAACTTTTGTCCTGTAAAGCAGTTTAAAAAAACTCATGCATTGCTAGTGTGGTACCATTTACCTTTAAAAAACTAAGTGGTTTTATAAAGAGTAGCCTAGTTTGCTCAGCTGCAAGTGCACTGTTTTAAACTGTCAGAGGCTGCTGGTTGACAGCAGCAGCAGCAGGATGGTGCTCCTGTGTGACACAAGGTGGACTGCAGCTGTCACCAAGACCCTGCTGAATACTAGAGGTCACTGAGGCACTAAATAGTAACAACTAATAACCATGTCCCTGACCAGCCACAAACAGGAGATAAACACAGTGAGCAGATGTCTGTGTATAAAGAAGCATCCTGAAGGTCAAATGAGCCAACACTGCTGATGGAATGTGTTAGTCAGCCAGTCTGGAAGACGATGTGAACGCAGACGTTTCAGTTTCTACAAATCCAGTACATGAGGCTGCTCAAATAAGTTCCCATTAGGATGTTCCCTACATGGGGCCTTTACTCCCTGTTAGGTGTCAGCAGCCAGTTAGAGACCTTGGGCAGAGATCTTGTATAAAGACCCACTTAACTGTTGGCTCTCAAAAGGGACAGTGTAGTAGAACACACAAACCTATTTAGAAACTGCTTTGTGTCAACACCCACCCCCAAAATCAGACTACTATAAAGGTCCCTATGGAAGTTTTGGTCTCGTAACCTCTCAGTAGGGAGAGGGAATTGCAGACACCTGTTAGATCACAGAACCACTGACAGGAGAGCAGACAGGTTCTCCAACTTGTCATACAGCATCACAGGTAACTGTAAATTCTGTCCCTGACAGTTCTGTTACCCAGAAGCTTTGGCTTTGCCATCCCCATCCCCAGCTCAGGGAGTGTTCAGGAATATAAGGAGAAGACAGAGTGTAAAACTCATTTCAAGCTGCAAGTTGCTCTTTTGAAAAGCAAAGCAAACCAAAAAGCCTTTCATTCATGGCTGAACTGGCTTGAAAACAGGCTGAACTATTCACAAATCTGAGCAAAAACATCCTTCTAAGTCTGGACAACAACAGTTATTTGATTTTTTTTTTTTTAAACTCCCCCTAATCTTGTTGAAAACTTTTGCAAATGCTGAAATTATACATGAAATACAGGGAATAAGTGGATTTGAGGGTTCGTGATAATTAATAATGTAATACAAGGAAGTTAACCTAGAAGACAAAATGGTACTTACCAGATATTTACAGATGCCAGTCTGGAGAATGTCAAAACACTGACTTTGTGAAGGTACAGTGGATAAGCTGTGACAGATCATCTGTTTTAATAAAAGAGAGGTATATTTAAGCACTCCAAGTGCAACTAGCAATCATTCAACTGTGCAGTCATACTTTGTTGACAGACCTAAATGCAAAGTACCTATGGGGAACACGTAGGAGCTTTGTCTGAAAGTATTTTTACATCTCAAAGAATCTTTACAGTGTATAAGAGTAACATTGTCAACACAAATTGTTCAGTGTTTAAAGGGATGACAGTGTACACTTAGTTGTGATAGAAGGCCAAAAAATACTCTATCCAGCTACAGTGCCACACTGAGCCTCCAGATGGCTTTCCTTGGAGCTGAAGAATTTCAGGAAGCAACTTCCCAAACAACTTCATCAAGCATGAAACTGAGGAATCACAGTGAAACAGGACAGAATACAATGAAGAACAATGTGGCAAAGATCCATTCCACACTGCCAGAAATGTCATGTTCAAAAAAGACGTAAAATATAATACTACAAAGGCAAATATTGTTTTCTAAACTGCAAAAAACTTCCTGGTGCTTATTCAGTCAGGCACTAGCAAACTGTACCATGAAATGGTATATGGCTCCTGGATAGGGTAAAGAAACCAGAGCTCTAGCAAACTGCCAGTAGGCTGTACTACAGTCCTTGGCAGATGGCTTTCTCTGTTCCTCTTTTCCTTCCCACCTATCCAATAATTTGCAAACTACTCGGACAGCTTGGATGTTCTCCCTCTGTTCACACTCACTGCTTATCCCACCAGCAGCAGCTGAAGCCTCCAGAGGGACAACATGCACAGCACAAGTCCATTGTTAGACCATTAGCAATCGAGATGTCCTGCTACGGACAGGGAAGATGGAAGAAAATACACAAGGAATGGAATCTTCTGTTCGTGCTTAAGGGAATCAGACAGGAAACAGCAAGATCAGATGTTTGAGGGATGGAAGAACTGAAGTCCCCAAGTTTTACAAATATCTCAACTAAGCAAAGCACGTTGCTCTAAGATACCTGGCTGTCTGAAAAAAGATCTGAAGAGAACTTTCACAGAATGATCTGACCTGAGGGATTAGATTTTGCTACAGTGTCCTGGGTTTTGAGACTTAAGTTGAATCAGGGCAGGTCAAGACACTGAAACAAGAGATAGCGACGCAATAGAACACATCACCCATGTTGTGTCAAAAATAATACTCTACAAC